CTGGGGAAAGCCACATAGGCATCTCCTACTATCCAAATCTATTTCATCTCTAAATCACGTACACTGACCACAGAAAAAGAGCTCAGAGAGCTATGGACCATGTTATCTCAAACTATTTGGTTCTTGAATTTTGGACAGCAAGTGGCCAAGAGTTCAGAAAGTGAGAGATTCATCTGAAAAATTTATTACAATTCATTTAGACCTTCACTCAAGGTCTAATGAGAACTTGGGTTGAGTTTCAATAACAAGGGATACTTTTATTATTGAGGGTACTGCATGAGCACCTGGATCTAGCCATACCTGAAGCTAAATATCTTTTAACCTTTCCAGTTACATGTCTCAAATCTCTTTTCTGGCTAAAGTCAGTTTAATCACGGTTCTGCCAGGTACAAAGTTGAGTGTCTCACACTCTCAACTTCTACCCTTATTTCTCCCAAAGTAGAGTCTAATTCTGAAGAAAAGCTTACCTCTTCCCAAGATTCTCCTGCTACTCTGCTCTCTTTCCCCTTCTTTTTATTCCTCTTCAGAGCTGGTTCCTTAATCCCTGGCTGCTCTGTCTTTTTCTTGGACTTCATTTTCTTCTTTGCAGGGGGTTTGGGGTTATGTCCTATTGGGATATATTCTGGAGCCTCAATTTTGACTGGCTTCTTACTTCCTTTCCTAGGGCTTCTCTCTACAGACTTGGAGCACTCAAGGTGCCCTAGAGAAGTATCTCCCTTCTGGTGGATTTTCTTTTTCTTCTTCATCTTCACATTGCATTCTCTGGGGCTCCCCTGCTTTCGTTTCTGCCCTGAGGTTGCCTGCTCCTCGCCATCCTTCCCCACTGAACAAGTATATAGAGCATCCCCAGACTCACAGAACCAAGGATCCTTGGCTGAGGAGGCTGTAGTCTCCTGGGTCTTTTTCTCCTTCTTGTGCTTTTTGGGTTTCTTGCCAACTCTGGTCACCTCCTCGTCCTCTTTGGGGTCTGGGGAGATCTTCACTCTTGAGGCAGGGGGCATGGCCAGAGGCCATAAGGACTTTCTCTTCTTTTTCTTCTCCCCACCTTGAAATTCAGATGAACCAAGAGCCTGCTTCCTGGAGCTGGACAACTTCCCTGTCCGTCCAGCACATAACACAGTCTCACGTTCTAGGCAGTCGTCACAGAGGGTGCTGTGGCCCTTCTTTTTCTTCTTTTTCTTCACTAGAGGCATCTTAGATGCCTGCTCTAGGACCACACTCTTCGAAGGGGATGTGGCTCTTGTGGAACAGACCTCACTGAAATAAACATCACTGTTTAAAACTGAGTATTGAGTCTCTGGTTCTTTGACCACCTTCTTCTTTTTCTTCTTTTTCTCTGGGAGCCCAAGACCCAGGTCTCCTTTGTGGGTTTTGGTGATCATTTCTGAAAAGAGAAATGGTACAAATCATCTCTGTACCAAACCACTCTGTGTACAATTCAGCCAGGTAGTGCCAAGAGCCACACTTGTGAGTGACTAGTCTGAAATGCTAGGGAATAAGAAAATGGGCGTGACTCCTTTGGAACAAAGGAAAATGTGATCAAAGAAGGTGAATGAAATGTAAATTCAGACAGCGCCAAGTTCAAACTGAAACTGCTCCCTCACCTTAAGCTAATCATTTCCCCCTTTCTCAAAGGGCTGTTGGAAAGAACATACAATAATCCGTGGAAAGTGATTCCCTTTCCCAACTCCTTCCTTAAATCTCTGAGCCTACACACCCATTCAACAAATTTTCCTACTGCCTACCCTTTGCCAGCCTAAGGATACAAGCGCAATCAAATCAGGCAGATCAGGTGCTGTCCCTCAGGGGTTTACCTTTCACTGAATGAAGGGGACAGAAATTCTGAGGTCAACTCTTCCTGCCTATTCCCACTAGAGGCAATAACTAGGGCACAATCAACCCCTTACTTTGGTTCATCTAAGTATCTCTTTTCCTTTGTGTCTGGAAATTGATTCGCCCCACCGGCACCCTTGGGTGACTTAACCCTTCTAATTATCTTCCCATGTGGCTAGTAATAAGAACAGCAACATGATATGATGAAAGCTAGGGCTGATAAGACCCGGGTTCAAATGGTGACTGACACCCTCTTGCTGTATAGTGTTAGTTTCTCTAGGCCTCAGTTTCCCCATCCATAAAGACGGACTGAGCCAGATCAAGTGCTGGCAGGAAAAGGGAAGGTGTTGGGGGACCGCATCCTTCCTGCTTCACTGTTTTTAAATTTTCAAATTAATTAACAATATTTTTTTTAATAAATTAATTTTTATTGGTGTTCAATTTACCAACATACAGAATAACACCCAGTGCTCATCCCGTCAAGTGTCCCCCTCCGTGCCCGTCACCCATTCACCCCCACCCCCCGCCCTCCTCCCCTTCCACCACCCCTAGTTCATTTCCCAGAGTTAGAAGTCTTTATGTTCTGTGTCCCTTTCTGATATCTCCCACACATTTCTTCTCCCTTCCCTTATATTCCTCTTCAGTATTATTCTTCCCTTATATTCCCCTTCAGTATTATTAAATTTTCAAATTAATTAACAATATTTAACCATTGGAGATGACAAAGAGCAACCTACAATGCCAAAATTTGGGGGGGGGGCAAAATGTCATACAGGTAAGTGTGGGAAGGGGCTGGTGCCCTCAAGTATATTTTAACTTCTAGCTGGGCCACATCTCTCCAGTCACTACCCTAGTCCTGCTGCTCCCTGGACTAGGTGACATGAAGATACCCAGGGAATCCAGAAACAAAATATACCCTTCGCAGGAGGTATGGATAGTGGGAAAGAAAGGTCATGAACTTCTCCATCCTAAAGCTCTCTTCAGCTTCAGAGCCGTGGGGAGCCACATCGGACCTAGCTCACCAATAGCAGATTCACACAGCCAGGCCAGAACTAAGCTATTGCTCAAGATCATTTATAACCCACACCTGAAGCACCGGGAATCAGGATGCCTGGGTGGCTCAGCAGTTGAGCGTCTGCCTTCAGCTCAGGGCATGATCCTGGTATGGGGAGCAAATCCCGTATCAGACTCCCTGTGAGGAACCTGCTTCTCTGTCTCTGTCTCTCTCATGAATAAATAAATAAAATCATTAAAAAAAGAAAAGGAGCACCTGGAAAGTCAGGGGTACACAGTCTCAATTCACTCCTGTACTGTCTTCTGTATTCCCAAAGCCTAGCTCTGTACCTGACACACAACAGATGTTCAATAAATACTCACTAAATGAATGAATGCCAGAGATAGAGATAAACAAGATAAAACATCTGCTATCAAGAAGCAGGTGTAGAGGGCAGCCCAGGTGGCTCAGCGGTTTAGCGCTGCCTTCTGCCCAGAGCGTGATCCTGGAATCTCGGGATCAAGTCTCACGTTGGGCTCCTTGCATGGAGCCTGCTCCCTCTGCCTGTGTCTCTGCCTCCCCCGTCCCTCAGTGTTTCTCATGAATAAATAAATAAAATAAAAAAAAAAAAGCAGGTGTAGGAGGAAAAGAGATGTGACAATGAAAACACAAGTGATAAAAGCAAGGATAGTGGTGAGGTCAGGGTAATGAATCTAATCTTGGCCTACCAGTTGTCTGGAAAGTTCCTAGAACAAAAGTTTCCAATTTAGGACGATGGTGTTAATCCCTGAAGAAGAAGAAGAAGAAAAAAAAAAAAACTGAAGGCAGGTAGTTACACGGGCTGCAGGAGACCGACTGGTTTGCCTGGATGCCTTGAGATATCCAAGCGGACAGGTGGATATGTGGGTCTGAGGCGCAGGCGTGGACTGGGCTGACATGGGTAACAAATACTTATCAATATATGGATGGTAACTAATCTTCAAACAGAACGATCCTAAGACAAGACCTTAGGGAAGTGGGAGAACAGAGAAAGAGAGACCTATGAAGGAAGGAAGAAGGTGTAAACACGGACAGGGGTGGAGTCGAGATAGCCTAGGATGCGGGGGTGCGGGGGGGGGGGGGACGGGACAGGGAGAGGAGTGATCAAGCGATCTTCTTAGAACAAAGAAATGAAAGGGAGGGCTCCCTGGGTGGCGCAGCGGTTTGGCGCCTGCCTTTGGCCCAGGGCGCGATCCTGGAGACCCGGGATCGAGTCTCACGTCGGGCTCCCGGTGCATGGAGCCTGCTTTTCCCTCTGCCTCTCTCTCTCTCTCTCTCTCTCTATTATAAATATTTTTTTAAAAAAAAAGTCTCTAAAAAAAAAAAAGAAAGAAAGAAATGAAAGGGAGACTGTAGTCAATTTACACCCCTTTCGGGCCGTTCATGATCACCGGAGCTTCCTCCCTCTTTAGCACCGAATATCCTCCTCTTCAACCCTGCGACCCCAGATACAATCGCTCCAAGAGGAAAGACTCTCACAGGGCGTCTGTCTCCAGCGAAAGCGAACGCTTTCTCCAAAAGCTGCTTTGAAATCTCGCGGTCGTCTCGTGAGGACTGAGGACCGGCGTGAAGACCCCCATCTCCGTGTCGCCGAGGCTTCGAGACTTGGAATTTCCTGGTCTTGGGTCCTAAAGCCAGCAAGTGGCGGAGAGGACTCGAACCCAGCCCGGAGGACGTCGAAGCCTGTGCTCCGCACCAGGGAACTAACGACACCCCACAGGCAGCAAGGGAGCCGGGAGGCGAGAACGGCCCCTCAGAGGCGCCGCCGCGCCGAAGCTTCCGCGCGCGCGCGCACACACACACACACACACACACGAGGGATTACGCGGGATCCTGGCCCCGCTCCAAGGCGGGAGAACTTCCAGGCCGGAGCGAGCGCGCACATACGACTGGGGTGGGGGTGTGTGTGTGTGGACTTGGGGTACGGGGTCACCCACTTTTCCCTCGGCTCGCCGCGCACGTCTCAGACCCCACGCCGCCCCGCCGAGGCCGCTCCTCAGCACTCACCCGCAGGCCAATCTTCCCCGCCTCCACGTGAAAGCCAGCTCTGCCCCGACCCGGAAGTGAATCTCGAGTCGCCGGCCGGCCCCCTGGACGCCCGGCTCCTTCCGGGTCGTAGCCGTGCCGGGAGGGCGGTTGCTGTGGAAGCCGCGGCTATGGCGGCACCTGCTCCGGTGAGCAGTCGCACCGCCCAGCGCGACGAGCCTCCCGGCTCCACAGAGTCGTCGGATACCGCCCGGACGCCCTTGCCCACCGTGTCCACCCTGTACCCCGAGCTACCTGTCTCGCCGGGACAGGGCGTGGAGCCTCCGGGCAAGAGCCTGTGGGAGCAGATTTGCGAGGGTAGGCAGCCCCGGCCGGCAGAGAGGGGCGGGACTCGTCAGGCGGGGGCCGCGTCGACTGGGCGCCTAACTGGCTTCCGGCACCTGAAGTGCGTGACCTCTCGGTAGCCGCGCTGCGGGCGCACCGTGCGTTCCATTTCGCGGACGGGGAAGCTGAGGCTCCGAGATTACGCAGCACAGTCTCTCACCTTGACCCGCAGTCAGGCTAAAGGCAGGGGAGGGCAGCCCGGGTGGCTCGGCGGTTGAGCATCTGCCTTCAGCCGGGGGCGTGGTCCTGGAGACCCGGGATCGAGTCCCACGTCAGACTCCCCGCATGGAGCCTGCTTCTGCCTGTGTCTCTGTCTCTCTCTCTGTGTGTGTCTCTCATGAATAAATAGGATTAAAAAAAAAAGGCAGGGGACCCAGTGGTGTGGACAGTGGCTCTCAAACCTCATTTATTTAGTGAATAAGAAAGAATCGGTGGGGCGGAGAGAGGGAGGTTGATTAGAACGTAAGGTTCCCAGTTCCTGCCCACAGATCCCATAATCAGGTGCAGGGAATCTGCAGTTTTAACGAGCATCCTAGGTAATTCCGATGTAGTCAGCCTATAGCCCACATGTTTTTGTTTTTTTCTTATATATATAAATTTATTTTTTGGTGTTCAATTTGCCAACATACAGAATAACACCCAGTGCTCATCCCATCAAGTGCCCCCCTCAGCGCCCGTCACCCAGCCAGCCCCACCCCCCGCCCACCTCCCCTTCCACCACCCCTAGTTCGTTTCCCAGAGTTAGGAGTCTCTCATGTTCTGTCTCCCTTTGTGATATTTCCCACTCATTTTTTCTCCTTTCCCCTTTATTCCCTTTCACTATTTTTTATATTCCTCGAATGAATGAGACCATATAATGTTTGCCCTTCTCCGATTGACTTATTTCACTCAGCATAATACCCTCCAGTTCCATCCATGTTGAAGCAAATGGTGGGTATTTGTCGTTTCTAATGGCTGAGTAATATTCCATTGTATACACAGACCACATCTTTATCCATTCATCTTTGCACGGACACCGAGGCTCCTTCCACAGTTTGGCTATTGTGGACATTTATAGCCCACATGTTGAGTAAACATGGTCTATACAGACTTGTTTTAATCCCTCTCCACTTCCAATCTTCCTTAAAATCCTCAAATGGAGTTTAGCTCAACTTGTTTTGTGGCCCTGCGCATACTTTTGGTCGTGAGGCTTTACGGTGCTCCTCACATATGTTGGACAAGTTATTGCCCTTCCTGTAAAGTGAGCCTAATAATGAGATACCAGCCTTATGGTGTTAGGAGCATTGCAGCTAGTCGCAGAAAGTACTTAGCAAACTGCCTGATTTCCAGCAAGAGTTCAGTAAGTGTTAGCTCTTTAAGAATAATACTGGGTGGGGGTTTTTTCTCCCCTGGGTTGTAAGCTCTTCAAGGTCAAGAACTCAAGATTTTTCATTATGTCAGCTGTCTGAAACAGCATTGCCCAGTAGAACTTTCAAATATGGTAGCTTTATTTACTTTTTTTTAAAGAATTTATTTTTATTTATTTATTTATTTATTTATTTATTTATTTATTTATTTATTTATTTATTTATTTATTTATTTATTTATTTATAAATAACACAGGGGAGAGAGAGAGGTGGAGACACAGGCAGAGGAAGAAGCGGGCTCCATATTAGGGAGTCCGGCGTGGGACTGGATTCTGGGTTTCCAGGATCATACCCTGGGCTGAAGGCGGCGCTAGACTGCTGAGCCACCAGGGCTGTCCATATGGTAGCTTTATTGACTGATCATGTTGTGTACACCTGAAACTAATTTAATGTTATGTCAGTTATATATATAAATGTGGTAGCTACTAGCCACATATGGTCATTGAGTACTTAAGGTATGGTTACTGTGAGGCACCTGTGTGGCTCAGTTAAGCATCTGCCTTCGGCTCAGGTCATGATCCTGGGGTCTGGGATCGAGCCCCACATTGAGCTTCCTTCTCATTGGGCAGCCTGCCTCTCCCTCTCTTTGTACTCTCTGTCTCTCTCAAATAAAATCTTTTTTTTTTTAATGTGGTTAGTGCAAATTTGGGACTCAAATTTTTTATTTACTTATGTTTAACAAATTTAGATAGCCACTTGTGGCTAGTGGCTACCATATTGGACAGTGCAAGCCAAGCCAGTAAATGTTGAATGGGAAAAAGGCTGAATCCACCAGTATATGAGAGAAGTGGAAAATACAGAGGAGGAAGAAGAGAATAGTGGACTTGAGTTGATTAATAATCCTCAGCAGCTGTTTCACCTCCCATCCAGTGTTTGAATTCCTTTTCCAGCATCATATTATATTTAGAAGAATCAATTCATTTTTGAATGTCATCCTTCTAGTTTTTACCCTTTGGTCCTTACCACCTTGGTGCTGTGACCCACGTTGATCACTCCACCATAAAGAATTCACTCATATTTGAAGGTAATTGTGGTTGTCTTTTCCTGAAAAAACTGAAAGACGTTTTGACTTCTCCAAGCCAAACAGCTCTTCGTAATAGCTTATTACTGGTGTGTTAGGGAAACTGCTTACCTGCCTCACAGGGCTGTTGTGAGGACCAGTAAGATATTATATGTGAAGGTGATTAGCATAGTTTGAGGCATTTAGAAAGAGCTCAATAAATGTTCATTGTTGTTAACAACGGCACATGGTTTGTATTGTGTTTTAAAGTCATGAGATTTATTTTGGTCAAATAGCCCTGTAGGGAGAAAGCAAAGATGAAGAGGGGTGCTCTCTAAAAAGCAAGTGAATTGATGCTACTCACAAAGTGATAGAGCTACATCATGAAGTTATTGAGGCCAAAGATGGCAAATTATATACTCAGGCGCTGTCATGATTATTATAACCCAGATAAATTTCTTAAACACTGTAACATGCAGTTTTCTATAACATGTAGTGAGTAAATTTAGTGCTTCACAACAAACTTTAGTGAAAAACAGGCTTTGTGGTAATCCTGTGAGGTTAAGTGTTACATCCTATTAGTACATCTCCATTCAAAAAGCAAATTACCGCGATGCCTGGGTGGCTCAGTGGTTAAGCGTCTGCCTTCGGCTCATGTTGTGATCTCCGGAGTCCTGCATCGGGCTCCCTGCGTGGAGCCTGCTTCTCCCTCTGCCTGTGTCTCTGCCTCTCTCTCTCTCTCTTTGTGTCTGTCATGAATAAATACGTAAAATCTTAAAGAAAAAAGAAAAGTACAAATGCTATAAAAAAAAAAAAACAAATTATCACAGCAAATAGACCTGTGAGAAACTCAATTTCAGAAAGAAGAAATACAGAATAGGTAAATAATCTGTCTTAAGACTGTCCCACCTGGCTAATGCTATGTGTGTGTGTGTGTGTGTGTGTGTGTGTGTGTGTGTGTATGTATGTATAACTTGACAACTTACTTGTAATTGTTCTCTAATTTTCTCATCTTTCCAGTGATGACTACCTATGATTTTTGTATCCTCAAAAGCACTTGTATCATATCAATAAAGATCTTTCCTGCCAAGGCTTCCAGTTGAATCTTATTATTGCTTGTGACATGATTTTTAACTATGGTTTTAACCAAGACTGAGTCAAAGTATTGGGAGCTCACAGTCTTCTATTTTGATATTGGTGTTATTACTGTCATCAACATCCTCATTATTGCCTTTGGCTCATTACTCCAAATACTCTGCAGCCTCAACCCTTAAAGCTGTTGTAAAATCAAGTTCTGGGCAGCCTGGGTGGCTCAGCGGTTTAGTGCCTGCCTTCAGCCCAGGGCGTGATCCTGGAGTTCCAGGATCAAGTCCTGCATCTGGCTCCCTGCACGAAGCCTGCTTCTCCCTCTGCCTGTGTTTCTGCTTCTCTCTCTCTCATGAATAAATAAATAAAATCCTTTAAAAAAAATCAAGTTCCTCCATCCCACCTGCCAGATACCAACATGGACCAGCTCTGAATCAACGCTTGTAACCGTAGCGCAGCAGCTGAGTACAGCTGGAGAAAAATAACACCAGGGGGCTCTCACAGTGCCTATCTGTCAACATCCCTCAGGGCTCCCATCTACTAGTCCCAAGTTTCTACCCTCCCTCCTCAAATGTTGGGTGATACCACTTAGTACATGTAGGAGGTATTCATTGGTAAGAGTCAGGCAGTTGGAAGTGAGGAGGGGAGCCTTCAGCTTCCTTATACCAATAAACATATTTGCATCTGTGCGCATACCCTGCTACCCACAGCTCAGCCTACATCTGTGCTTTGGTACTATCCTCTTGCCATCCCAGGATCCTGGTCAGTCACCCCCTTTCCTACATTTAACTTTATTGACCCTTTCTTCTAAACACCCTTTGGTCTGTCATCTTGAGAAAAACCTCTCCTTTAGCCTCTATTATCTTCTAGCTCTTGTCTATCCCTTCTCTCAGCCAAGCTTCTGGAAAGAAACACTGCCCTTGTTCACACCACTGTCATTCCTTTTCTCTTATCAACCCAATGCAGACTAGTTCCTACTTACCTCATGGTTCCAATGAAATTATTTTCATATATCCTGTTAACATACCTGCCATGCTGGGAACTGTTTTAAATGTTGGGCCAGGAATGACTCCAGGCTCTATTCTAGACACCCAACAACTTTCCATCTTAATAAGTGTCACCATCATTCCCTCAGCTACCCAATCCAGAAATTCTTTTTTTAAAGATTTTATTTATTTATTCATGAGAGACACAGAGAGAGGTGGAGACAGAAACAGGCTCCCTATAGGGAGCCTAATGCAGGACTCCATCCTAGGACTCCGGGATCACAGCCTGAGCCAAAGGCAGATGCTCAACCGCTGAGCCACCCAGGTGTCCCTCAGAGATTCATCTTAAATGTTTCCTATTCACTTTCCATGATCCTCAGATACATTCTCCAATCTCTATAGATTCCACCTTGTTAACATTTGTAACCCTCAACTCCCCACTCCCTAATTCTCATGGCTGCTGGTTTAGATCAGGCCTTACCATATCCTGTTTGG